AGAGGGGCAAGGAGGTAGAGTTGGGAGGTAAGGAGGGGGTAGGGACAGAGGATACAGTTCAAGATCCTGGTCCTCACCTTCAAAGTCCTCCACGGACTTGCTCCTTCCTACATCTGCGACCTCCTAACCCGGTACCATCCTGCTCACTCCCTCCGCTCAGCGGGCTCCGCCCTGCTTCAAGTCTTCCGCCTCGCCTGCCCCCGCACTGGCAGGCGGGCCTTCAGCCACTCTGCTCCCACCCTCTGGAACTCCATCCCGCAGTCCCTCCGCCTCGCCGCCTCCCGTGCCACCTCAAGACCCTCCTGTTCGACCGTGCTCTCTATCTCCCTGCTTCCCCCCCCTGCCCTCCACCCTCCCTGATCCCGACTCCCAACTCGAGTTGGAAACCCTGATTGTCCAGCGCCTTGGGACGTTCTCCCAATGTGAAAGGCGCTTTACAAATGTAATTTTGTTGTTGTTGTTGTCTCAAAGCACGTCACAGCATATATTGTGAAGCGAACTGACCGTATTTTGTGGGCGAATGAGACGTGGCAGCCAATTGTGCACAGCGACGTCCCACAAACAGTCGTGGATTTAAGAACCGTCCACGATTCCCGGCTCCAATTAATTTTTAAAAATAAAACACCTGATATGGCTGACAGGCTGAGACTCAGCGGAATTTCAGGCCTCTGGGAGGGACACGGGCGACACCAACCGATGAGGCAACGCCACACATGGATGCAGATCGGTTCCTGTTTCCGGCTGACGTGACCAATACTGTAACAGTCAGGACTCTTTGCACAAGAGACCTGGAGCAGAAACCTTGGATGTCATTCTCCTCCCTAACCCAGAAAACGTGAGGCCAAAATCTGTGCCACCTTAAAGAGCTCTGAGATGTTATTCTCTATTAAGGCTATTTAAGGATTACTGGATTATTCTCAACACAAGTTGTTGGTGTTAGCTACTACCTGCTACCATTCATAGCTTTAGTAACAATAGTAATACAATAATAATCTTGCAATGGGTGGAGTGCCTTTCATGGCAGAGGATGTTTCAAAGCGCTTCACAGGATGCTCTATAAAGTGTAGTAATTGGGTATTCGTAGGAAAACACGGCAGCCCCCATTGGCGCACGGCAATGTCCCTCAAACAGCTGTGAAGTGAATGGACAATTTTATTTACTTATTTATTTACACTGCAAGCGCCTTATCGGGAAACCACTAAGAAGCCCAAATATTTAACCCCGCCGTTGTATCCTATCGCTGACTTCACCTTTACGTCCCCATTGAAATGAGTTGATTGGTTACAAATGAAGACTTCTGTTTGCTGAACCTTGCCTGTTCATTGGCTTTACCTCCATCCTCTGCTCTTTGCATGTGTTATTATAATCTGACACCAAGTCTTACTTTGCACATTCCTTAAAACTCACTTTAAAACTCAAGAGTAAAATTACAGATCTCTCCGTGGATGAAAAGGAAATAAATGGTATTTTTATGGTGCTTTATTTTGGAATAGCTCAACACACTTTAATAGTAATTACTGTCAAGTAAGTGACTGTTTCTGCAGACCAATGTGGCAGCTAGTTTTCACACAGCAAGATCCCACATCTTCGAGGTAGGTGAACGTCCCTTTAATCGAGAGCATTATGTGTCAGCCTGGTTGGGTTTGTAGCAATAACGCTCTGAGTCAAAAGGTTGTGGATTCAAGCCCCATGTTGGAACTTGTAACTCAAATAATCTAAGAATAATGATAATCCTTGCATTTGATATAGCGCCTTATCACGTTTTCGAGACATTTCAAAGCGCTTAAGAGGGCACTCCAGTGCAGTGCTGGGGGTGTACTGCATTGTTGGAGGTGCCATCTTTTGGATGAGACGTTAAACCAAGGTCCAGTCTGGTGAGGGAGGTCAGGGAATATACCTTAGCGTGGGTCAATGTTTTGAGACAAGAAGGAAAGAGTGGACAAATTGGAGGGAGAAACATGTTGAAACCATTTAACACTCCCTTCCTAGCGAAGCTTCACAATAGCTGAAGCGGATCATGAAGAACTTACAAACGAGAAGATGAAACAATGAAGGTGACAGAGGAGGCAGTGCCTGCGATCTCTTCACAGCAGTCGCTGTGCATCATTAGCAATGCTCTCAGAGTTTTTATTTATAGGCCAGTCTCGGCGCTGTTGCTGGGAGAGATCTTGGGGTACGCCCGAGGCAATGCTTGGTGGAAAATCTTCTGGAGAATTTCAGCTTGAAACGATTTGAGGAATTAAAATGAATTGTGTGTGTGTGTGTGTGTGGGGGGAAGTTGGGGGGGGGGGGGGAGGTTGGGGGGAGAGTGGGAGGAAGGACGGACTGAAAAAAAAGGCAAAGATTAACTTTAGTTTTTTTAATTATAAAAAAAACTCAACGCAATTTATTTCTTTCATTTCTTTGTAAGAGTTTGCGGAGTTGGACAAGCAGCAGATTAAATCCTCCCCCCCCCCCACACACCCACACACACACGCTCGCTCCCCCCCACCTCTTCCCCCCCTCCCCCCCCACCTCTTCTTTCACTTGTATGCTGTGTGCTTCACAACAATGCTGGTGGGTGTTTCAGATCTCAGGGGATGCTGTGATGAGAGGAATAGGGGTGGAGGAAGAGTGATGGGAGGGTGAAGGGGAGGGGAGGAGGTGACAGAGGGGTTGGGAGGGTGATGGGAAGGTGGGGGAAGGGGGCAGTGTGTGTGGAGAGCGGTACAGGGTGATGGGTGGTGGGGTGGGGGGGGGTTGAGGCTAATGAGGTTAGGAGGAAAACAATATTCATTTGAATGTTTTTTCCCCCCAATAACCTTTGCTATTAAAAAAAAGTCCCTTTGTGTGTCTTTTTTTAATGGCGGTGGCAAATCGAACCGCGATGCCTTAAGTCTGTTCCCACGAGAGAGAGTTAGAGAGAGAGAAGATAAAAGGAGCGGAAAATTAAGGAGGGGGGGGGGGGAGGAAGAAAGAAAAGAAAAGAAAATCTAACACAAGTTTAATTGTCGATCCAGTCCAGCTTTTACTCCCAGCTAAAGAGTGCTTTGAAGGCTGATGCCAGCAGCTAGACTGGCAGCTTGGAGATCTGATACTGTGACAAGCAGCAAGTTTAAATGCCTCCTAACTTTACATTTGTGTCACTGCGTTTGCTTGCGCTGCTTTTTCGCTCACTTCTTTGATCCTCTCGCCCGCAGAATACGCGCTCGGTCCGCTTTGCGGCATGTCCTGCGAGGCGCTTTGAGACGTCTCGAAGGTGCTATATCAAATGCAAGGATTATTATTACTTTTATTGTCATCGTCATCATCATCATCACTGTTATTTTTTCTCCCGCAATAGTCATTCTCTCTCTCTTTCTCTCTCTCTCGCTCTCTCTCCATCCTTCTCAACCCCTCATCCCCCCCCCAACCCCCCCACCCCCTTAAAAGCAAAATGTAATCAAACATCTCACTGATCTGCAGGCTTTGGGAAGCCAGTTGGTATGAGTTGGGTGTCTGCACCCCCAGGGCAAACCATGTCACAATTGCACACTAACGCAGGGGATTGCTGTGGGAGGAAAGGGGGGGAGAATGAATGAGAGAGAGAGAGAGAAGGGAGGAAAGAAAGAAAGATATGGACTTACATGTGGTTTTATTGAGCACATCAGTTGGGAACAATACGAGGTGGTGGTGGGGTGGGGGGGGTAACACAAGGGGAAAAAAAATCACTCTCTAACAGGACCATTGGGATGGCTTCAACAAGTTGGTAACCCTTAGTGTGTGGCAGATCATTTCTGGGGTGAATGTGGCAAAGATGAGGGAGGGAGAGTGATGCGAGAGTACCAGTTTTTGGAAACCTCATCTGTTTGGCTTTGACTCTTCTCTCTCTCTCTCTCTCTTTTTCTCTCCATCTCTCTCTCTCTCTCTCTCTCTCTCTCTTCCTCTCCCTCTCTTCTGGCAAAGGAACGCTCTATCCATTTGCAAAAGAAATGGCCCGAGGAAACATTACATCAAAACTAATCATAACGATTAAAATCAGCTTTTTTTCTGCACAGTGTAATGAGCAAGTTGGGGGCTGACGTGAGATTGTTCTGCAAAAAAAAAAGAGGAGAGAGAGGGAGAGAGAGAGAGAGAGAGGGGGAGAGAGAGGGGGGTGGGAAGGAGGGAGGGAGGGAAAGAGAAAAAGAAGAGGAAAAAAAAGAAAGAGAGAGAAAAAAAAATCTGGTCTCAGAGAGAGAGAGAAATTGCCAATGTGATATCTTTTTTTTTGGAAAAAAAACACTCCCCAAGAGAGAGAGAGAGAGAGAAGGGAGGGAGGGAGGGGATGGAGATGGGGGGGGGGGGGGATGGAGTGGTGATGGGGGGGAAAGAGAAATAATAATAAAATAAAATAAAATAAAATCCAGAGAGTGGGAGAGAGAGGGGGAGAGGAGAGAGAGAGAGAGAGAAGGGAGAGGGGGAGAGAGAGGAAGAGAGAAGGGGAGAGGGGGAGAGAGAGAGAGGGGAGGAGGGGAGAGAGAGAGAGAGGGAGAGAGAGAGAGGGGGGGGGAGGGGAGGGAGAGAGAGAGGGGAGAGAGAGAGAGAGAGAGAGGGGGAAAGAGGGATAAAAACCACAAGAGGGTGTTTGGTAATGGGATCTGCATTTACCTGAGGTTGAACAGTTAATTAAATGTAACTTTTATTTGCAGATTGGGTTAGACGCCGAGGAGAAGGCAATGAGCTAATTGTATCCTGATCCCTGCCTTAGGGGGTTTCGAAGCCCTGCAGCTACTATTCTCTCTCTCTCTCTCTCCCTCTCTCCCTCTCTCTTCTCTCTCTCTTTTTTCTCCTACCTTCACCAGCTATTGGAAGACGGATCGTTGCATTTCTCTCCCGTGTATCGAGAAGAGAGGATCGGGGAAGGGGAGGGGGAGGGAGGGAGGAGGGGGTCTTTTCTGGTGTGTGTGTGTGTGTGGTGTGGGTGTGTGGGGGTGAAAAAAAAAGTGAGTGAGTGAGTGAGTGTGAGAGAGAGAGAGAAGAGAGAGGGGAGAAAGAAAAAGAGAAAGAGAGAGAGAGAGAAAAGAGAGAGAGAGAAAAAAAGAGGTGGGGAAGACTTATGTTAAATGTTTCAGGTAAGGCAACCCACAACAACAACAACAAAACCTGTGTGTTTTGATTTGTGTGTGTGTGTGTGTTGGTTGTGTGTGTGTGTGTGTTTGTATGTGTGTTTGATGTGTGTGTGTGTGTGTGTGTTGGAGTGTGTCTGTATGTGTGTGTGTGTTTGGTGTGTGTGTGTGTTTGGTGTGTCTGTCTGTCTGTGTGTGTGTGTGTGTGGTGTGTCTGTATGTGTGTGTGTGTGGTGTATGTGTCTGTGTGTGTGTGTTTGGTGTGTGTATGTGTATGTATGTGTGTGTGTGTGTGTGTGGTGTGTGTGTCTGTGTGTGTGTTTGGTGTGTGTATGTGTGTGTGTGTGTGGGTGTATGTGTCTGTGTGTGTTTGGTGTGTGTATGTGTATGTATGTGTGTGTGTG